ATCCGAATTTTGTTGTTGATGGTGAGTGACGAAGATTTCCAGATTGGTTTCAGGTTGATGAATGTGTTTCTCACCTTCCCGATTCTCGATTTGACATCCTCGTCCGTTCCTCCTGTGGTTGAGACAATGCTCCCTAGATAAGTGAAAGAAGTAACCTCTTTCAAATCCCTCCCGTTGATGGTGATTGGCACTGGATGTTGCTGCTGTTGTTGGTTGGTTATTTTCATGACCTCCGTCTTGTCTATGTTCACCTGGAGTCCTGTCTTTGCTGCTTCTTCGACCAGTTTGTCGGTTTTTGCTTGTAAGTCTTCGATTTTGTGTGACATCAAACATAAATCATCCGCAAAATCCAGGTCTTCTAGGTTCTTCACGTCGGTCCAGGCTATCCCTGTTTTCTCGTTTCCCACTGTCTGACGCATAATCCAGTCCACCACAATTAGGAATATCATTGGTGATAATAAGCACCCTTGTCTGACTCCTGTGTTTACTCCAAACGCTTCGCTGAGTTTTCCGTTGTGCATCACTTGACATGTGCCGTTGCCGTACAGTTGTTGAATAAGGTTGATGAATATTTGGGGTACGCCGTAGTACTCGAGTAGTTTCCAAATTACTTCGCGGTCAACGCTGTCGAAGGCCTTCTCAAAGTCTATGAAGTTGAGGTAGAGATTTGATTGCCATTCCATGCTTTGTTCGATGATAATGCGTAGAGCTGCAATTTGGTCAGAACATGATTTGCCTTTCCTGAATCCAGCTTGTTCTGGTCGGAGTTCTGTATCCAGTGCGTCCTTTATTCTCTCCAGGATGTGTTGCTGCTCTATTTTGACTGAACTAGCGTATACACATATCCTAATACTTCCTCGCGTTTACAATTGTGCCCTAACGTTGCGATTACTCGACATCCGCAACGTAATTCAAAAGGCACTTGCGAAGGAATACGATAGTGTATTATTGCAGCAATCAACAATTCAAAAATCGAGCGAGTACAAAAAGTATCAATTGTTAACATGCATGATTTAGAGTAATAAACAGATGAAAGTACAATTACACAATGAAAGTATAGTACGATTATGAGTAATAAAACGGGTCACTACAATAGCCCCTCCGTAGAATGCAGGTAAATGAAGTTTACCTGTATTCGGAATGATATTGTAAATTACAATTACAGAAGAAATATATACGAGTTTGTGGTATGAAAACCGAATTGAGGATTTTAAGTTTTTGAGGTTTGATAATATAACTGTATATATGCAAAAATGTTAACAACTTTGAAACGAACTAAAATGTTTAGAAAGTTGTGCAACATGTAACAATAAAAGCAGAAAAATTATTATTAGAATAATAATGAGGTTGTTATTGTAAAGAGTTATAGAATAGATTTATATCTTAACATACAATTAATAGTACCGTAATAAGGTAGTATGGAAATGACCTGGGTAAACATTCAGTTACCTCTATTTCCATGAAAGCTGGTTGTACAAGTGGAATTGTACAAGAAGAGATGGCTGTGCCAGCGAAGAGTGCAGCAGTAGCTGCTGCTGATACGGTTGAAAGTGAACGTCCGTCAGCATGTTGTTGTTGTTGCTGGCTGTTGTTACTCGGCGTTGAGGAGTAACTTGAATTGATGTTTGCTGAGGTTGGAGAGTAGAAGTTGGTTGACTGATAGCCATTTCAACAAGAGCAGTTGGCACAAGCTGTGGTAAACCAGTGGTTTGAATCAATTGACCGTTAGGAACAACAGTCATGACTTTTAATGGAGCTCCTGGTGCCAGAGTGATAAACTGGGGAGTAGCATAGGAGCGTGCAGTTACAGTATAAGGTTGACCACTGACAGAGACGTCAGTTGCCATCATTGTTGGTTGTTGCTGATGTTGTTGGATATAAGCTTGCTGTTGAGCTGGTTGTAACTGATGAGCTTGTGCTTGAATCTGTTGTTGTTGTTGTTGAGGTGATTGGGTAAACTGTTGTAATTGAACAGTTGTAGGACCGGCTTGAGTAAATGGAGTTGTAGACCATTGTAAGAGTGTTTGCACACCTGTAGACAATGCTGAAGCTTGAGGACAGAGAACTGGAATTGAGGCGTTGCATAATAGCCAGCTGCTATAGCTTCTTGAGTATCAGGGTGAATTGGGATAGCAGTCGCTGTTCCGCCAGGTCCGGAGGTACATTCAGCAGAAATATCAGTAATTATACATCCAGATGTTATGAAGTTATAAAAGTTAATGCGATGGCAAAGATGATTTATTCCACTGTGTATACTTCGAAATGATGTAGTCCATCAATCACGTCGGGCTCACCAATTTGTTGCTGCTCTATTTTGACTGAACTAGCGTATACACATATCCTAATACTTCCTCGCGTTTACAATTGTGCCCTAACGTTGCGATTACTCGACATCCGCAACGTAATTCAAAAGGCACTTGCGAAGGAATACGATAGTGTATTATTGCAGCAATCAACAATTCAAAAATCGAGCGAGTACAAAAAGTATCAATTGTTAACATGCATGATTTAGAGTAATAAACAGATGAAAGTACAATTACACAATGAAAGTATAGTACGATTATGAGTAATAAAACGGGTCACTACACGTCGGTCCAGGCTATCCCTGTTTTCTCGTTTCCCACTGTCTGACGCATAATCCAGTCCACCACAATTAGGAATATCATTGGTGATAATAAGCACCCTTGTCTGACTCCTGTGTTTACTCCAAACGCTTCGCTGAGTTTTCCGTTGTGCATCACTTGACATGTGCCGTTGCCGTACAGTTGTTGAATAAGGTTGATGAATATTTGGGGTACGCCGTAGTACTCGAGTAGTTTCCAAATTACTTCGCGGTCAACGCTGTCGAAGGCCTTCTCAAAGTCTATGAAGTTGAGGTAGAGATTTGATTGCCATTCCATGCTTTGTTCGATGATAATGCGTAGAGCTGCAATTTGGTCAGAACATGATTTGCCTTTCCTGAATCCAGCTTGTTCTGGTCGGAGTTCTGTATCCAGTGCGTCCTTTATTCTCTCCAGGATGATGCGACTCAGGATTTTACTTGGCATCGACAGGAGCATGATTCCTCGCCAGTTCTTGCAGAGTCCTAAGTCGCCCTTCTTTGGTAGTTTCACCAGGTAACCTTTCCTCCAGTCAGTAGGCACCTTTCCCTCTTTCCAGATCTTTTGCGATAATGGAGTCAGCATATCTGCTGTCGTTTCTGGGTCCGCTTTCAGTGCTTCCGGGGGTATTCCATCTGGTCCAGCTGCTTTTCCAGCTTTCAGAAGCTTGATTGCATTCATGACTTCAGTTTTTGTTGGAGGATTGGTGTCAACTTGCAGTTGTGTACGTGCTGTTGTTGGTATTACTGGACGGGTTGTAGGTGGTGGTCGGTTCAAGAGTCCTTTGAAGTGGTTCGCCCATTGTTTAATCTGTCTTTCTTCTTTGGTAATTGGGTTCCCTTGGCTGTCTTTTATAGGTTTCACTTGTGTTGATCTCTTCCCGGATAGAGACTTGGTTATCTGATATAGTGTCCTCAGGTCCCTTTTGCCTGCTGCCTTCTCGGCTTCAGTAGCCAGGTTGTCGTAGAATTGTCTTTTGTCCTTCCTGGCACTCTTCTTCACTTCTTTGTCCAGTACTGTGTAAGTTGAGCTCAGCGTCTCTTTCTCTTGTCCATTTTTGCATTGAATCATTTTTTCTTTCACCTTTCTCCTCTCCTCTATTAGTTTCCAAGTGTCTGTTGAGAGCCATTCCTTGTCTTTTCTCTTCTTTCTTCCTAAAACCGTTGAACACGTTTCGTTGAAAATTACCTTCAGAGAGTTCCAATGGTCTTCCACGGATGATTCCTCAGTGGTGCCACGTAGTGTTTCCTGCTTTGCTCTGACAGTTGCAGTGAAAGTGTCCTTTGTGGTTGTGTCTTTCAGTTTTTGCGTGTTGAACTTGCATTGTGGCCTATCCCCAGGTATCCTCGAGGCTTTCAGCTTCACCTTGAAAGTCCCTTGTACTAGATAGTGGTCTGAACCCACATCTGCTCCTCTCCTCGATCTTGTGTCCAGTAGGCTCCGTCTCCATTTCCTTGAGATTGAAATGAAGTCTATCTGGTTTTCGGTGTGTCCATCTGGTGAAATCCATGTTGCCTTGTGTATATCCCTGTGTTTGAACACACTGCCCCCAATCACCAAATCATTGAAGGCGCAGAAGTCTGAGAAGAGTTCACCATTTTCGTTCATTTCACCGAGGGCCTCACGACCCATGGTGAGTTCTCTTCCTGTATTGTCTCCTCCCAGTTTCGCATTCATGTCGCCCATCAGGATTTTGATATCGCTCTTTGGGACGTTGTCCATTACTGTTTGTAGTTGACTGTAGAAATCCTCCTTCTTCTCTTTTTCTGAGACGTTTGTAGGCGCGTAGCATTGAATAATAGTAACCTTTTTTCCTTTTGAGTTGAACCTGGCTGTCATTATCCTGGAGGAGATTGGTTCCCACTGCATGAGAGCTTTGGTTGCTGTTGGTGACATCATGATGGCTACTCCCTCGGTGTGCTCGTGATCGTCCTCTGGGTGACCGGAGTAGATTATTGTCTCTCCAGTTGGTAGTTGGCACCTTCCACATCCGTTCCATCTGCTCTCGCAGATTCCCAACACTTCTATTTTATATCCTCATTTCTGCGGCTACCTGAGCAGCCTTTCCAGTTTCGTACATTGTACGAATATTCCACGTCCCCATCCTTATTTTTGCTTTCATCGAAAGAAGGCACATCGGCTGACTGGCTTCCCGAAGGCTTTCACCAGCCTGCGTCATTTCACTTCCCCGATTCCAGCGAAAAATAAGGTTATTGTTTGTATTTTTAGAATTTTGAATATATTTGTGCGTTGAAGTTTTATTAGCAATTTGGTTAAGTTTTGGGGGTGAAGTTGCTAGCACCACGCCCCAACCCTCCCTCTTTATCCGGGCTTGGGACCGGCTAGAATACTAGTGACCTAGTAATCTAGGCTAGGTTACTATCGCTAATTATTTACACTTATAAGAATAAAACTTGGGCACTGTGGTAGAGTGTAATTCCATTATGGGTAAATTTTATTTTGATAGAGTCTCACAGTGTTATACAGTAATGTTTACTGATAACGTTTCGAGCACAATTTATTGCTCATAATCATATCAAGTTGTACTTATTTTTTGGGTTGTAGTCTTCAGTATACTCTATAGAAGTACCTGTAACAAAAACCGTGCCATGAAAATATAATTGAACCATTATTTCTGTCACATGCCTTACTGTTTTAATTTGCATTTATTTACAAACAACAATCCCAGGGTTTTGCAGTGAATCAGAATTTCAGACATTGAGTATTCTTTTTGAAGTTATAAACCATCAACTTTTTATCTTATCAATTATTTATACTTACGGACTCAGCACAGTCAGTATGTTTGACTCGCTAATGACTCATTTCTCTTTTTATAATCTACAGATATTTTATTAAATAATGTACAAAAGTGGTATCCACGTCGTTCGGAGCTAAAGTTAATTAAATAATGACTGCCAGTGAGTCACAAAGATTATTAAATGAAGTGATCACCAAATTTGGGTGGACGAACGAATTAATCTCGAATGTAAGTCCTCCCATAGAAAGTACCATATTCATACTTTTCATCAACATCCGTCTGCTAACCCTTTTAATTACAACCATACTCTGGCGGACATTTTCTTCTAGAATTACATGTTACTAGATGGAATCTAGTTTAAGTTCATGATGGTACATGACTGCTGTCTTCTTAGTTCCTTGTTTCATTGAAATTTCCACTAATCGTCATCTTGATCACTGCTGGATATCGGGAAAACTGGCCTGGTTATTTCTCGTAAAACTTGCATCAAATTAGACCAATGGAACACACTGTATTTCTCCTTTGGAAACAAATGTTAGTCGAAAGTGAACAGTATTCGATGAAATGAAGTGTTATTTAACAACCATTTGCAATTTCACTTGGTAAGTCATCAGCCACGCCCACCGTGAGAGCTAGTGATGCCACCTGGTTCGTCAAACCTCAGTAGATGAAGTGAGGTTCGAACCCGTGACTCACTGGTTGAAATTGTCCCTTGACATGATGAACAAGTCATTCCATGTGGTTAATCAGACATTTATTAACTCGTATAATAAATGTTTACTTCAGTCAGCTTAATTAAGTCAAAAGATAGAAGAGAATTAACTCTAAGTATCTAAGGTGTTCCACACGCTTATTACTATTCCTTTGTCTCACACCTCTGTTTACTGTCTATATTTTGCATTTCTTCTACTTTCTTCTCTTGCTTTGCGTGCTACATAGGTTGTGGCGACTTGAACTGCCGCACATATGTGCAAAGTTCTATGTCGAAAACCGACCGACACGCTTAGTCGTCGCTCACTACTACAACTTGAGGACCATCAAACGGCATACATTTTAAACCGTTCACGCTGAGAAACCTAGTTTGCAACCAACTTCAGTGTTCATAAGTTTTTAGCTTTATTGTGCGTCGGTGGCACAGTGGTTAGGACTCTCGCCGACCATGCACATGGTCTGGGGTTCAATCCCCTGCCGGCGCACACCCGATATCTATGGTTGGCCTGTAAATTTGGGCTACCGATATGCATGCTGAAAATTCCATACTTGTACTGAAAATACGGTGTGGAATCAAGCTGTAATCAAAATCAAAATAAATATAAGTGTTTGTACCGTATCCTATGAAGCTATTTTACTGGCCGATCCCTCGATGAGTAATTTATTTCAGTTGCAAGACATTCACAATGACTAACTCATATGTTGACATAATTGTAATAATTACTCATAATTTCTGACTGAAATGTACACAGGTTCAATAAGATTTAAAGGAACAATACGAAAAGAAAGTATATAATTAATTAAGTTAAGAAAGAACATTGAAGAGAAAGTTAACTCTCATATTACGCAGGATGTTAAAGGTTGTCAGGAGGGTAAGCAACGTGCCACTTAACCAGCTTGTTAATATTCTGGTTGACAGGCACATGGACTCGTGAAAAATGGGCCAAATCCATTTAATCTAACTCACACCACCCTCTTCACTCTCAACTCTCCCCTTGCATCTCATCAGGCAAAACCAGAAGCCTATATAGAAAACTATATGCCCGCATCAGCAAGTACAAAAACTCAACTATACCCTAATTAGCTCGTGTTCTGTGCGATAAAGAAAGCATTAGGCGTGACACCTATAGCTCATTAAATAGTCAGTAGAACAACTGGACCTCGTCTTTCCAACTCATATCATTTATCGGTACAACATTTTCTTTCTTTCTTTTCCTTTTCTCTCTCTCTCTCTCATTTTCTCTTTTTTTCCGTTATGTGCTGCTTTGTTTCTTTCTTCCGCTTACGTCAGTAAATATGATAGCACCTACTTTTCTAACACCTTCGAACACTGTTCAACTTTGGTTTGCTACCGATATGCCAATATGTTGTTGTCATAATGAACTGAGATTTCCCTAATCTATGTAGAATTCTATTTATTGATAATGTACTAACTGGATGCAATGCTGTAGTAAAAATGTTGGGAATTCCATTCTGTATCGCAATTACTGTTTTGGAATAAAGCAAATTATTATTATTAAGCAGATGTGTGCAATGAGAAATACTGCTTGCTTGTAATCTGTAATAGTGAGTGTACAATGATAGTCTCATTGTTGTCTCATAGTTTGTGCGAGAGCCGGGATACTGCTTGGCAGGCCAGATCAAAGCAGGTGGTTTTCTGAAGTGACTACTGCCCTTGACATGAAATCTGATCCACAAGGCTGTAGGTCGGCGTCAGGAGCTGCTTTTCTATGGTTGGCGGATTCTGGAGTCCATGAGCACTATAGGTTTAGAGTCAGGGTTTTCCATTTCCCCTAGATAGACCAGCATGTCTGTCAGTCCTGTTTTAAGTGCCAGACGTTCGCATTCACCCTTAGACTTTTGTGCGGTAGACCCGCTGCGTGATTCCGTGCATACGATTTACCTGAACGTGTGGCCACATCATGAGAGCGTTTCAAGAGGAGTGTCGAAGTTTCACATCTCTTGGTGCCCATAATGTATGTTTGTATGTTAAATTACTATATCCATTGCCTTATCTTTCCTGTCGTTGTCTTTCACTTGAGTGCATTAATGTGAAAAATGTGACAAATATGCAAGTTTAAGACGTTTTAGCTTACTGATGTCTGTTTCATTGACCACCGGTAATACTTTTCCTTTAGTGCTTTTCTCTGTACTTTCTGATGCTATCTGAAAAAGTGAACTCAGACTGAATGTATTCAAATCAGCTTACACTGGAAATAATCTATGAAAGACTTATAATTACACTTGTATAAATCTCTGTTTTTGCCGTAGTCCTATTTTGCGGGTTTATAATTGGCTACTTTCTTGGAAACATAATTAAGAAGTCGATGTTTCACTTAACCATGGATTATAACACTTCAGACACTTCTAATTAACTATTTACTGTGTAATTTTTAGTGTAGTGGTGAGACAATCAATTATACACCTCATTTTGTTCCCGACATTAAGCAGTAGATAATTGTTAAATGTGCCAGTGAATCATAGCATCTTTTATAAGCAGCGATACAGAAGTAGTTATCCCATAGTACTTACAACCATAGGGTGTGTACATACTAAGTTTTTGTTACAGCGAATTACATGGGTTGTTTAATTAACTTGAACCACCGGTCATATAAACCACACTGGACCCAGAAATACAAATGAAACAAAGAATATGGCTGTTCAAAATTTTAAGATTGAATACCAGCCAGGCTAATACTTCAACGCCCTTTCATTGTTTTCAAATTTTCAGGCTTAAAGTCTTTTCTAGAGGTGTAATTTTCTACTGAGTTATTCATTTCTACCCTCTTTTACATAGTTTATTCACTACACCAATCCTTACATCATGTATATTTGTGCTAAATAACTAATCACTGCTGCTTTTTTCTTGTATGACTTTAACATTATTTCCGCTTAAAAGGTTTCAAGGTATGAACAATGCTGTTATCAGAAAAATCACTGGGTTCCCACAAAATCCATTTCCACACACAAAGACTACTGTTCACTACGCCAGCAAGGTTATCTTAGAGAAGAAATAGTAAGTGATTTATATATATATATATATATATATATATATATATATATTGGTGTTGGATATGGTATGAGTTAACAGCCAGGATAATCTGTTCAACTTCGGTTCCATGCGGGCTTTCAATTATCAAGCAGATTAACTTATTCTTAACCTTGGGGAACTCGTACCCCATATGAAATTATAACTAGCATCACCTAGTTCTGAATTATGTGACTTTACCATCAGATTACTTCGGTTACTCATTATAATAAAGGTTTTGTATTTCCCAATGAATGAAAAACAAAACGATATTGTTTTTACTGACGTTTCGCTATTTGATGCTAATAGCTTTATCAAAGTATTATTAAACCGGAATTTACAAAATCTCAGCATATATATAACAGAGTTAAGGGGTGAGAAAATAGACTTAGGTCAAGTTAAAAGGACATATTGAAAGTCAAAATAACAATGAAGATCACTAAACCAAATAACAAAGGTAATAGTATATCTGTTATGATATCAAAACAAAGTTTACTAACTTGATCATCGTTCGTCAGTCTGGGGTCATTTTTTGTTGTTGTCAAGTTGGTCAACTGGTAAAGATAACAAAACGAAGTGTAGATTGTTGGATTTGATCAGTGTGTAAAATTATAAAACCAGTTTGTGTTTACATAGTGAACTTGCATATCATATTCGTGTTGATTTTGTCACTTCATGGGGAAGGGGTATTGTAACCAGGTCAGATTCTGTTTTAGTCCATCATTCCTATTCAGGCAATTTGGATTCCACTTGATATGAAGTGCTTCTGATATTAGACGTTCTTTGTGACTTCTGAAGTTTTTCTGGATTATTTCAATATTGTCAAAATCAATTTTGTGACCTGATTCTATAGCGTGTAGACGACCTATGGCTGATGATTTTTCAGGTTTTTCTAGTTCAACCGGATTTCTCGGTGGTCGAAGAGATGCTCTATGGTGTTCATTTCTTCTGATTTTGATTTCTCGAGATGTTTGTCCGATGTATATCACATGACATTCCAAGCATTTTATTTTATAGACACAATTAGATAGAGAATCTTTAGGGATTTAGTCTTTTATATGGACAAGGTTGCTTCGTATTGTTTCTGATGTTTTGAAGAAAACTCTAATGTCGAGCTGATTGAGTACTCTTCTGATATCATCTGACTTCTCTGCTCTATATGGAATGACGACTGTTCAGGTCCATGTTTTCGGAATGCGTTTTTGGCCATACTTAATGTCTGTGTTGATCTTGTTGATGAAGTTCCATGGGTAGTTGTTTTGCTTGAGAGTTTCAGTAATGTTTGATATTTCTTCTTTTTCTTTATCATCCGTTATCAGAGAGTGTGCTCGTCTAAGAAGACTAGAAGCAACTGGAATCTTTGCGCTGATGGGGTGTGATGATTTGAAGTCTAAATATTTATTGAAGTGGGTTTTCTTCCTGAATATGGATATACTAAAATCTCCGTTTTCCCTTCTCTTAACTAGGCAGTGTAGAAATGGTAGTTCACCGACGTCTGATTCTGCTTTCGAAGTAAACTGGATTCTGGGAGATACACAGTTTATTTTCTCCAGGAATGAATTGTGTAGATCTCGTTATAGTGCTACAAAAGTATCATCTACTTATCTTAACGATATTTTAGGAGTGAGTATGCTTGAAAAGATGTTATTTTTGAATCTATTCATGAAAAGGTCAGCGACTATTGGGGAGACTGGTGAACCCATAACAGCACCATTTGTCTGTCTATATAAACTCCCTTCTAGTAGACTGGGAATGATATCAAGACTTTCGGTAATAGGGATGCTAGTATTAATGAGTTAATATCATAGCTTACCATAATGTCTTCTTTATCAACTTCTCGGTATTCTATTTGGGATTTGAAATCATATGAATTTCTTACAATATTTTGAGTGTCCTTTTGTAGTGGTTGTAGTACCGAGAGTAAGTATTTAGATAGGTTGTATGTCGGTGAGTTGGTGAAATCTATTATTGGTCTTAATGGAACTGTTGGTTTATGTATCTTTGGTTGACCGCAGAATCTTGAAGGTACATAAGATTTTGGTTTTAGCTTAAACCAGAGAGGATTTCCAATTTTGGGTTTCATTTCTTGAAGGAGTCTGTTTGTTGAATTCGGCGGATTTCTTCTTCTCTTCAATAAGTAAGTATGGTCCTTCAGATAGGTGTTCAATCGCCTTCTTTTCATAATCCGTTCTGTTCATCATCACAGTGACGTTTCCCTTGTCGGCTTTCGTTATAACGATGCTTTTGTCTTTCTTCAAATTCCTTAAGGCTTCATATTCTTGTTTGGTGAGATTAGATGGTATGTTTCGTAGTGTCGTAAAACATACCATTGAAACTGATTAGTTTTCAATGAACATATCATTAGTAGAATTCAGTCGTGATGCAAAAGACTTCAAGTTTTTGTTGCTCGCCTCAATACACTGTTCAGACGCATACAAGAACATGACCTAATGTGGTTGCCAAGAGGAGAAATCACATCAACTAACAACTCAGGTGAAATGAGCTTTCAATGCGAAACTATGCACTAAGGTGCAGTAGTTCAATTTGCCACACTTGATGAAGCATGCATAAATTCAGAGAATGATTTCATACAGAATAATGAAAATTTAATAGAAATGGGAGATTATAAGTAGTTAATTCACCTGCGTCATTGAGTACGATTTTGAAAGATTTGATCAACAGCTTTCAACCAAAGATTCTTAGCGTCTTGATAACCCTAGCCAAGTAGTCTACACCTCTGCTTGGCTCAAACTAACAGCCAAAAGTTTCGTGGATTGATGCCAGGTTCTAATCAAACTATTGCTGGCTTTTTTCCCACCCACACCTATGTCAATTAACATTGCTTGACGAGGAAGAAGATAGTTTGGCATGTTTAACACATGTCCTAGTCATCTCAATCGATGCAGTTTCACAACCCCATGGACTGACCTAACACTACGCCTTACCTCAATATTACTAACCATATTATGCCATTAAACATCGTCTATAGAATGCAAACGCCAATAGTCAAAGGCTACTGGTCTTTTCATATCCTCTACATTCAACGGCCATATCTCAGAACAGTAAAGAAAGACGAAAGGAACTGCTGAACAGTACATACACATCCTTTGATCGATAGCCAGATATCACGTCTACATCAGAGATGATGTAAGTTGACAGATGTTACACGACCCTTTTGTTTCTGAGCTGAAATCTTATCAGCACTCAGCACATTGAAGTGGTCAACACACTAAACTATTTCACATACTATCCCTAAACAACATGTCGGTGCAGTATACTCTCGGAGGATTATCGTGCATTTGATAAGGATAAGGCAACCAATAGCCCAACTTCTCAGCATGCTGTTCTTACACATCATTCCATGTCAGTAGTCTTTCGAAGCTATGTGTTTGGTAGGACGAAGCTGTTCGAAAGATTTCCGGATGCATCTGTGTTACAGCCTGAGCTTTTGCTATGCAGAAGGGAAACCCTGAACTCTTGGCGAAAGTGATTTATCCTGTCCTTTGAACTAACCTAAACTTAGACCTCTTTTTGACTTGTTGAACATTAATTTTATGTGTTATCCATCTTCTTTTTTTCTGACAATGTTTGACCTCTGTTGTCAGCCTATATGATCTTTTATAAACCCTATTTAACTCTACCTCTTTGCTGAGAAGTTACGAAAAGAATATTCTTTGCCAAATTATGTCTTGTCTTACTTTGTTCATCGAAATCCCACATATTTATTCATTCTCATAAACAGTGCACATTACAATATTATTTCTACCGTTGAATATGTGATTTATTGTTATACTACTTATTTGTTTATTAATAAACCTTCCGTTTAGTAGAATGCTATGATTCTGAATGCCGATGTGTGCGCTACTGACTATTCTCAGCCTACAACAGATTGGACGAATGATCCGTCTTGGATTATGAATATGGAAGCATTCTATACTGACAAGTCATCATCAGGTCGAAGATCATGTAAGTAGTTCATCGGTGTATTTGCAATTATTTTTTATGGGTCGCATAAGAGTGTAGCATAGATTTATAACAAGTTTGATCACGGATTGATATCAGTTAGAGGACCACTGAATACTAAAGACTGCTGGGCAACCGTTTCGTCCTAGTTTTGGAACTCTCCAGAAGAACGCATGCATGACCCCATTGCCAAGGAATCGAACTATCCCACGACGTAACAAACTAACTCTTGAAAATAAATTTATATGCTTTCAGTTATGGTTGTTTATTTCACTATTTATTTCAGTTGTGGTTAAGTAATCATTTCTGCTATTGTCAGACCTAATAGTTAGTTAACCACGGCCGATAGCTGCTACCTTGACGTGGTGGTCGGGCTTGCATATCGCAATGACCCAACGAGCTACACTGGCTGGAACTTATGTTCCTGTAGGTCCTACTATGCCAGAAAGGTTTTTTGGATAGCGGTTAGACAAAAAGTGGCTACCCAATCCAATACTATGTTCCAAACAAATTCACAAAATATCATGCCGGATCGGTCGGGGACCGGATTAACAACGACCGCGCTTCCTGCTGCCGTGTCACAGGGCAGAAGTGATAAATATGCTACTGAGACACACCAAACAAAAAAGAACAACCAAAAACAGGCCGCGTGTGACCGGCCTCAAGCAGTTGTCATCTGGGCTCTGCGGTCATGCAACGCACTTTCTGTTTCAGGTCCCCGAAGAATCAATCAACTTCCACGGTGTGAGCAGCCGGGAAGTAACAACCACCCACACACTTCCAAAAGCACACGAAGCCTACCTGACCATCACTCTCCCTTACTCACATCACCTTCCTCATCTTGCTTCTCTACTACAGTTAGCACTATTCTTGAGGCTAGTGAGTCATCTTCACTTCACTCTGCGTCCACAAACAACGATGAGAGCCATAGAAACAACCCAGATAGCCTTTTAAAACCACGTCGCCAACTTCATATAGGAGCTTTTAACGTCAGGACCCTCTGCCAAATCGGACAACAAGCATCACTAGACAGCAGGACTTCCTCTAAGGTAGCCTGGCACAACATACAGTTAGCTGTGGACACAACCGTGAAAGCTGTCAATAAGCTAAAACCTAAAGTTAATAAAAGCCATTGGATCTCTACCGCCTCATCCGAACTGATTGACGCAAGAAGACTGATTCCAGCGAGCTCCGATTATGATGAGGAGCGAAAGGTGCTTAAACGAAGACTAACAAAAAGTCTTCGCAAGGACCGTGAACAGTGGTGGGTGACAAACGCGAAAGAGATGGTAAAGGCATCGGCGATTGGCAACACCACACAACTATTCAGGCTTATCAGGGAAACAGGTGGCAAAAGGCAAATGATAAGCGAAACAATCTCGGAGAAAAATGGCACCATAATTAGCTCTCAGGATAGACGACTGGAACGCTGGAAAGAACACTTTGAGGAGCAGTTTAATTGGCCTACAGCCACACCCAACTTACTGAATATCCAACACCTCCCTGAATGGGATATAGACACAGGTCCTCCGTCCTTAACTGGGGTTACCAAAGCTGTCACTAGTCTGAAGCAAGGCAAAGCAGAGGGACCTGATGGACTGACTCCAGAGGTATTTAAGTACGGTGGAGACAGTTTACTGTCTGCATTAACTGAGGTTCTAGGCAGCGTCTGGGAATCAGAGGAAGTCCCATCGGGTTGGTATAAGTCACTGATCATCCCGATATACAAGAAGGGAGACAAGTCTTCTTGTGGTAATCACAAGGGGATTAGCGTGACTAATATGGTATCTAAAGTTCTATACCCAATAATACTGCGTAGACTAAGTGGTGCTCGGGAGGCACAAACACGAGAAAACCAGGCAGGTTTTAGGCCAGGAAGAGGGTGTATTGATCATATCTTCACCCTTCGACAGATTCTATAACATGGGCATTCCTACCGGCGTCCAACGATCATTATATTTCTTGACCTAAAGGCGGAATTCGATTCTGTCAACCGAGAGGTACTATGGCAATGCCTGGTTGTAAAGGGAATGCCGATAAAATGCATTACACTGATCAAGGCATTCTACTCGAACTCATGCAGCCAGGTGAGAGCTCACGGCAAGTTGTCATCTGAACGGGTGACAGCCAGTGGTTTCCGACAGGAATGCCCACTATCCCCATTTCTATTCAATTTCATCATAGATGTACTAATGGACTTAACCCTAACTCACTTCAGAGACTCAGGGATTGACTTCCTACCACCAGGGATTAATCTCGTTGACTTAGAATATGCAAATGGTATAGTCTTTCTAGGTGAAGACGCTGAAAAAATAAAGCAGTCTTCTGAACACCTTGAGTTGCAATCTGCGAATGTTTAGCATGCGATTCGCTCCCGTCAAATGTAAGATGATGCTACAGGACTGGACTACATTGACTCCTAGCTTAGAAATAGGGAGTGAAGTGGTAGAGCGTGTTGACTTATTTGGGAAGTTGCATCAGACCTAGCGGGTCGATCACTGACGAAATCTCAGCGCGGATACAGAAAGCTAGGTTTGCATGTGCCAGATTACGCCGTCTCTGGAGTAGACGTGATATCCGACTATCGACAAAAGGACGTGTGTACTGCTCAGCAGTTCGCTCTGTCTTCCTTTATAGCTAGCTGTGAAACATGGCCATTGAGAGTGGAAGACATGAAAAGACTGGCTAGTTGTCTTTGATCATAGGTGGCTGTGTTCTATCTCCCGTATGAAATGGTATAATAGGGTGTGCAATATTGAGGTTAGGCGTCGAGTGCCAGGTAAGGAGGGGAAGTCAACAGACGAGGCTGTGAAGTTGCATCGACTGAGATGGTTAGGACATGTGCTACGTATGCCTAGTCATCACCTTCCTCGCCGGGCAATGTTAGCTGATATAGGACCAGGCTGGAAAAGAGCTAGTGGTGGTCAAAGGAAAACATGGCACCAGTCAATGAAATCTACAACAGTTAGTCTAAGTCACGTAGGAAGGTGTAGACTTCCAGACTGGTTGGGGTCCTCGGGACGGTAAAAATCAATGGTTGGAAACAATTGGTGCCATGGTTCAAAATGGTTCTCAATGGTGCAGATGCATCAACTCCTTGTGACTCATGATTTCCAATGAAACTGTTTTGTTCTTCGTTATTACTATTCCTTTGTCTCACACCTCTGTTTACTGTCTATATTATGCATTTCTCCTACTTTCTTCTCTTGCTTTGTGTGCTACATGGAGTGTGGCGACTTGAGCTGCCGCACATATGTGCAAAGTTCTATGTCGAAAACCGACCGACTAAACAGTTAGTTAACATTTTTCACCTTTCCTTGTAAATCTTTTCTAACAACATAATTTTCATTTGTCAGTATGACAAATTGTTAGTTATACTTAGGCATAGAATTTCTATGAAGTTCAATATTTGATTTAAAAATGATTTAAAAGTGTCATTGTATGTAGTTGTCAATAAAATCAGTTAGGATCTCATAAGGGACATGAGTGTCTTCCTTCAAGCTTAAAGATACATCTAACCGACGACCGCCAACAACCACGAAACCTAGGTGCAAAGCCTCCTGCCAATTGCCTCCAACCGTGTGACAAAAACAACAATTCAAAATTCATCGTGATGGCTAGCCACCTAGCATGATGGTCATGTTGCAAACTTGACTGATGGGATTAGATGCACGATATTAATTTCTACCTAGTTTCCGGTCAAACAATCAGTATTTATTTCAGATTCCATTTTGCTCAGTAATCAGATAGTCAGCTGATTGGATATTGTGATTAACTAAGTACTTTCTTTTTACTTAGACTGATAATTACTGACATAACATATCTTAAATGTTTAAGAAACCTTAATTCCAGGGTAAACTACATTGCAGGCGGATGTCGGTTAGTGAAACATTAATATATGTGGGTGGAGGTGATATACTACCAACTGACTGATTAGTAGTTTTTCATCTCTTCGCTTTCCTAGGATTACTTTGAAGTTTCAAGTTTCATATTTGAAATTTCAGTATCACTGCCTTCCTAACGGTTGAGGTTACCAGCCTTAAATCCAATTTTCCCTCTTTACTGGACATATTACCGACTGAATGAGATTTAGGAGTGCGTTAGTCGCAAAATGAACCAGGGCCATGTGAGTGGTTGGCGAGCATTCCTACCATTGAATCACAGTCGAAATTTAATATCCAGTTTCACCTGATTTCTGTCCGGGCGAACAAACAGTTATAACAATTTGAATAAGGTATTTAGAAGACAAATTTCGCGAGATGATATCATTTCGTAGTTTCTTTACAACTGCTTTGCAACTAACATGGTTAACAATGATAAAATAAAATAAAGTTCATGACTCAGTTTTATAAAAAACAAAAGTACATACTAATGACCAATCATATTTAAATAGGTAAAGTAGTTCATGGTAGGCGAAGGTTGAAGTCTATTGTTTTTTGTACATACAAAGGGCTTCCATCACCTTCAGTAACCTTGAATTAGAGTTATATGAAATAATTGTGAAACAGTCATTAATATTGATTTTGTGACCTGACATTATTACTCTATTTGATCATATTCATCCAAATATCTGAGTGACTTCCGAACTCGAATTGAGTAACGAACTCGGTTTCCTAGATATTACAATGACCAGGAGAGATGATGGAACGATTCAGTGATCTGTTTTTCGTAAACAGACATGGAGTGGACAATATCTTCATTTCACCAGTTTTGTTCCTATACAGTATAAACATTCCCTAGTGAAATGTTTGTTCTCAAGGGCCCGAAAAATATGCACGAGTGACACATTGATGGATGAGCTTCGACATATACATTCAGTTTTATTAGCTAATGGTTATCCAGAGAACTTCATCACTTGTCACAGTAAGGATAGACCACATCTAGAAAAGACAGCTTCTGTACCAAAGGAAGCTATCTTTATTAACCTACCATTCAAGGGTGGCCAGATTATGCAGTTGACAGCTCAAAGACTTCGGTCAGCCATCAAACGCGCATTCTACGCC